GAGAGAGAGAGAGAGAGAGAGAGAGAGAGAGAGAGAGAGAGAGAGAGAGAGAGAGAGAGAGAGAGACAAGTTTGGTTGTCACTTACCTGTGAAGCGAGCTGAGCAGACCCACGAAGGAGAGAGAAAGCGGCCATAGCCGCGGAGCTGTACCGCAGAGTGACGAAGGAGGACAGAGAAGGAGGGACCAAGGAGAGAGATAGAGGAAGAAGTGTGGAAGGGGAGACATCGGAGGAGAAGACAGACATAGCCGAGGGTGACAAAAAAAAAAGAAAAAGAAAGAGAAAGGAAGAAGAAGGCCTTGTTGGAGGAGCAGGCGGCGAAATTGAAGAAGATTGAGGAGGAGATGGCCAGAGAAAAAGAAAGATTGAAGAAAGAGGAGGAGGCGAAACTAAAGGAGGTGGAAGAGGAAGAGGAGGAAGAGGAGCAGCCACTGGAGAGGAGAAGAGAGCAACGAGGACAGTACAGTGGCAGCAAAAATGAAGAGATAGAGAAGAGGATTTCAGAGTGGGTTGCCAACTTGTCTTTGGGAGAAGAGGAGGAGGTAGCCATGTATATTCCCAAGGACGAGCAGGACGCCGCCGTGAAGGAATGAGATGCAGAAAGAGATGCCTTGAAGCGGCAGGCAATGGAAGATGAGAAGAGAATGGAGTGGAAGTTAAGGATGATGAGGGAGAAGAAGAAGAGGGTGGATGCAGCAAGTGAAGCGGTCAAAGAGTTAGAGGAGGTGCAGAAACTGACTCTACAGTTGACCCCTCAAGTGGACCTCCAACGAAAGGTAGAGATCATTGCCCAGAGTGTCGAGCGCTTGGCCCGAGTACAGGAGGAACAATACGAGTTTAGTAGAAGCCAGGACATGGTTGTGCGCTCGATGCGACTGGGATTTCGGGATTTTGCCCGCGAACTGGTAGGCGCAGTAGGGGCCGAGGTGAACCATCGCCTCGAAAAGACCGAACGATTCTGCGTTGGCGCCATTGAAGGCGTCAAGGCGACAACTCCCAAGGAGGAAGAAGCACGTCCTCGTAGGGAGCCAGTCAAGGTCAAGTTCCCTGATTCCTACAGTGGAAAGAGGGAAGAAAACTTTGACAATTGGGAGGCCAATGCCAAGACCTATGTGCATTTGCAACAGGTCTCCCCGGATCAGCACGTCTTGATTGCGATCCATGCGCTTAGAGATGAGGCTGCCAGTTTCGCAAGGTCCCTAGTCCGCTCTGCCAACTGCAACGATGATGCAGTTGCTTACTCGTCATTCACCCCCCTCGTAGATTTCATGAAGTTGTTGCGCGAGCGATTTGCTAATGTCGCCCGCAATGTCAAAGCCTCTGATAGGCTTCAGACCATCCATTCTCGTCAATGGAAGAGTGCCAGGGCACTCAAGGGTGTTATGGACGAATGGGTAGCTGTTCCTGACCATGGGGTCACAAAGACCCAGTTGGTCAACCTCTTCTATAGGGCTATGCCCGAATCGCTGCGTGGCCACTTCTTTGCGAAGAGTCAAGATCCTGCAATGACGCACGATGCACTTAGCAGGGAAGCGGTGGCCTTTGAGGGAAGTCTGTGTCAGTTTCCACTTTCTGGCACAAAGACCTGGACAAAGGAAAGAAGTGGAATGGTCGCACTATCTCAGGGCAAGTTAAGACCAAGGATAGTCTTATCCTTATTTTAGACGAAGGTAGTGTTGACGAGATCCCCTACGATCAGATAGAGTGGGGATTAGAGGATGAAGACAGTGGGGTGAGTCAGGGGAGACCTTATGCTGCTGTCGCGGCTGGAGGGAGGCCGCAAGGAGGAGGACGAGGCCGGGGCCAAGGGGGTCGGGCCTCAGGGAACCGATCTCAGGGCGATCAGGGGGTTGGCGGCAGAGGAGGGAACCGCCAAGTGGGAGGCAGGGGTCAAGGTCCCCCGCAAAACCGTTATGGGAATAGGTCTCCTTATAGGAGAGGTGGATGGCACCCAGGGCTGCCGCAAGGTAAGCCTTGGGAAGATTTGGGTCTGGACAAGGGCTTATGGCGGGGCCAGTGCATTTATTGCGGTGACCCAGGCCACATCATTAAATATTGTCCTAAGTATAGAGAGGCCCGATCGGCTGCTCAAGGGTCAAACGGCAGCCGCCGGTAGGGGTAGCAACTGCCCCTACCATTAGGCCATGTGGGGAAATTAACGCTAGCCGGCAGGAGACTCCCACACCACATGAGCCTATGGTAGAGGTTGCAGGCCGGTGTCTAGATAGTTGTCCAGAGACTGCTTGTGTTAGAATCTCTCTAGACACCTCCCTCACAGGCGTGGCTGAAGAATTGAAGGAGAGGATGCCCGCCTGGGCCAAGATGAAAAAGGAGAATAAAGGGCAGCTTATATTAGTAGATACAGAGATTTTTAGAGGACGAGCAGGCGCCTTAGTGGATAGTGGAGCCACTCGTAGTTATATTAGTAGGAAGGCGCTACAGAAGCTGAAGTTGCAGTTAAAGGTCCAAAGACTAGCAGACCCCATAGTTAGTATCCTCGCGGACAATCGCACCATGCGAGTGGAGGAATACGTAGAGGGAGTCCAAGCATATTTCCGCCTAGAACAGGATGGGAGGGTGGAGAAGGTCCTCCATTCCCTGACTCTCCTCGTAGAGGATAGCCTCCCGTTTGACATAGTCCTAGGTATGGACTGGGGAGAGGCAGCAGGGACCACACTCCATTTGAGAGAGCACGAGTGTAGGCTCCCTAGTCCGTCAGGCGGTGTCAAGACTGCCCGACTGTTCCATGTGTCAGGAGTAGACAACTCCCTAGCGCATTGCTGCCTCAGTGCTCCTGCGTTCGCAAGGCTAGTGAAAAAGGAGCAACTGGAGGAACAGGTTTTTGTAGCCTATGTTAGGCCAGTAACTGAGCCTAAGGAGGAGAAACCTATAAACCCTGCTATTGCCAAGCTGCTGGAGGAGTTTAAAGATCTGGCTGAGCCGCCGATAGGAGTAGTCCCGCGGCCTATCCAGCACCGCATTGAGATTGAGCTTGGCAGTAGAACTCCCAAAGGAGCCGTGTATAGGATGTCCCCGCGGGAGTTGGAGGAGTTGCGCAAACAATTAGACGAGCTCCTCGAGAAGGGTTGGATTAGGCCCAGTTCATCCCCATTCGGGGCACCTGTTCTGTTCGTTCCCAAGAAAGAGGGAGAGCTTAGGATGTGTATAGACTATAGGGGTCTGAATGCAATCACAGTTAAGAATGTTGAACCACTGCCCAGGATAGACGATCTTTTAGATCGGGTGCAGGGGTGCAAATATTTCACGAAGATAGATTTAAAGTCCGGATATCATCAGATAGAGGTTCATCCTGATGATCACTACAAGACAACCTTCCGGACTAGATACGGGCACTACGAGTTCATCGTGATGCCCTTTGGATTAACCAACGTGCCAGCGACTTTTCAGCGATGCATGAATGACCTGTTTAGGCCTTGGTTAGATAGGTTTGTTGTAGTGTATTTGGATGACATCCTAGTGTTTAGTAAGACCCTCGAAGAGCATCGGGGTCATCTCAGGCAGGTCTTGGAGAAGCTGAGAGAAGCTAACTTCAAGATCAACGCCAAGAAGTGCGAATGGGCGAAGACCCAAGTGTTGTATTTAGGCCACGTCTTAGATGGAGACGGCATCAAGCCAAAGGATAGTAAGATCGCATCGATCAGAGATTGGCCTACGCCACGTACGTTAACAGAGTTGCGGTCGTTCTTAGGCCTAGCAAACTACTATAGGAAGTTCGTAAGGAACTTCTCCACGATCGCTGCGCCCCTTCGCAGACTGCTCAGGAAAGAGACTATCTGGAAGTGGGACAAAGACTGCACGTCTGCTATGAAGAAGTTAAAGCGCACTGATAGAGTATCCAGTCCTTAAGGTGGCTGACCCGTCCTTACCCTTTGTCGTTACTACGAACGCCAGTCAGTACGGCATAGGTGCTGTTCTGCAGCAAGACGATGGCAATGGTTATAGGCCCGTAGAGTTCATGTCTGCTAGGATGCATTCAGAGAAGGTTGCGACATTGACCTATGAGAGGGAACTCTACGCTCTAAGGCAAGCGCTAGAACACTGGAACCATTACTTGCTTGGGAGACACTTCAAAGTCTATTCTGACCATGAGACTCTAAGATGGTTAAAGACACAGGCCAAGATGACACCTAAGCTTACTAGGTGGGCCGCAGAGATAGACCAGTACGATTTTGAGCTCAAGCCAGTCTTGGGGAAATATAACGTAGTTGCGGACGCTCTGAGTAGGAGAGCGGACTACTTTGGAGCGATAGTTCACTATCTGGATATAGGGAGCGACCTGCAGGAAAAGGTTAAAGAAGCGTATGCGCAAGACCCTATCTATAGTGACCTCCTCAAGCGAGTAAAGGAAGCCCCAGAGACCGAGCCAGATTACCGTACTACTAATGGACTGTTATTCGAGAAGACTAATGTAGTTGACCGTCTATGCATTCCCAATAGTGAAGAGATACGTAGTCTGATCTTAGGAAAATGTCGCGACACAGAAGGTCATTTTGGTTGGCAAAAGACTCTAGCCAATCTAATGCACGCGTACACCTGGCCAGGAATGAAGAATGACTGCATAGAGTATGTCCGCAGCTGTAAAGTCTGCCAGCGAAATAAGACTACTACGCGTGTTCCGCTAGGTCTTCTCAGACCCTTGCCTATTCCTGATCAGCCCGGAGATTCAGTGTCCATCGATTTCATGGACGCTGGAGTCAAGAGTAGGCATGGCAAGAGCCAAGTCATGGTGATAGTCGATAGGTTTAGCAAGTATGCTGTTTTTGTACCTTCGCCTTTAGAGGCACGAACGAAATTACTGATCCGTAAGTTCTTTGATCACTGGGTCAGTGAGCACGGGGTCCCATTGTCCATAGTTAGTGATAGAGACACCCGGTTCACAAGTCAGAACTGGCAGGAGTTGATGAGAGTCTATGGCTCTAAGTTGTTGATGTCGTCTGGCCGTCATCCAGAGACCAACGGTCAGACTGAACAAATGAATAAGATCCTGCAGCAAGTTCTAAAAATGTATATTAGACCTGATCAAGTTGACTGGGATGAGATGCTCCCCAAGGTAGCCAGTGCTTACAACAATAGTGTGCATCTGTCTACGTGCCGCACTCCCAACAAGCTGCATAAGTCCTTTAGACCGCGTAGACCGTTTGAAGGACTCAACCGGGATCAGATTCATAGGCTACCGCCCGGTACTAGGGAGTTTGCGATCCAGCACGAGAAAGAACTAGCTACTGTTGTACAGAACCTCAGGAAGGCCCAGCATAGGATGATAGAGCAAGCTAACAAACATCGTCACCCGTCACAGTTTCAAGTAGGCGACTTAGTCTGGGTCAAGGCTAAAGAATTTGCTCCTGAGGAGAACATTTCGCAAAAGTTACTGGCCGCGTATAGAGGACCGTGGCCAGTCCTAGAAGTCAAAGGCGGAGAAGATGGTCCGTCCTACTCAATAGAGATTCCACTGCACCTCCACACCTACCCAGTTTTCCATAAGTCAAAGTTGTTGCCGTGCACAGTAAGCGATCAGTTTCCATCTAGGCGTTCCATGATTCCTCCAGACATGGACGGAAGATATGACATTGACGACATTGTATGTGAAGATGTGTTCAGGACAGGAGGTCGAGGTCGTCCTCAAAAACAATATAAGGTCAGATTTGCCTATCAGGAGCCAGAAGACGACCGTTGGTTCACCAGAAGTGAACTTCTAGAAACAGCCCCGGACATAGTTAAGGCCTACGAAAGAGATAGGAAAGGTAAAGGTCCTGCCTTGGACTGAAATTTTCTCGGAGGACCTCGAATTTAGGCCGGCGGGAGTGAAACGGT